CAGGCACCGCCTTCTAGGAAGAGGAAAGGCACGTGAGTTTTGCAACTTCGAGTTAGGCCAATTGAAAAGTTAATCTCATTTACTGACAGACAAATCCACCAATCACATGAGTTCTTTGAAGATGCTGGCCAATCATCGTGTACCTTGAAAACACGACTACCATCGCAGCCTTTGTTCTCCTAATTTGGATGCTCGGAGCCTTCAGAGCTCGTCGACGTACCCCCCCTCTCCCCCCCCCCACACACACACACACACTTTTTGAAGTAAAAAGTATTGCACAATATACACCAAGACGGAAAGACTATACTACACTGTGCTAGAAAAGCAGGATATACCATCTATTATTGTTATACCATGTTCATATTCTATCTATCTTTATCTTTTATCTTTTTCATTTACATCATTATAGTTGTAGGTAACTATAATACCCTGGTCAGAAATGGTTTAATTGTACCCGAAAGGATGTGCCTAGGCCAACACAGGCATCTGGTGATGCAATTATTCTTGTTCTTACAATTAGAGAAAAAGCTAGATTTGAGATTACACTCAGGTGTGCCTGTATGTCTGTGGTCATTGCCCGTGGCAGAGATAATGTTCTACAGATACATTATATTTAAAGGGCTGGGCTAAAGAGGTTAAAGGGATTATCTCGAATGAGATCATGTGGCTTTCCAGCTTTCTGCTTTTGCATGTGCAAATTTACAGCCTCTCCTGCAGTCCTACAGCCATTCTCATGACCTTAGGAAAACAATCTCAATGATGTTAAAGCTTAGCCTGTCCATTGTAATCCAGAGCAAAATATCAGCTTCTTAGATTTACTTTAGTTATTTAAAACATATTTTGGTTGTTTCCTCTGATAAACCTTTGAAGTGGCACCACCAAGTGGCCATATTTATAGCACTCTACAAAAACAACAACCCCTGCCATGCTTACAGAATTAATAATGTGAGACTTCCATTCAGCTTTTAGAATTGAAGAGGCCATTTGGATGAGAGGTGAAATGCCTTTAAGTTGTAAAAATAAATCTGACATAGACAATACTCTAGATGCTGGACGGGTCACATTTCAGGTTTCCCTATATGTTTTGTGGCCTCATGCAGGAGTTCTCAAACACTTTGTCCACTGATCAGAACCAAGCCACTAAAGGATTTGCATGGCCGGGTGAATGACTTTTTACAATGTAAATATTGCAAAGGAAACATTGTGCTGCTAACAACTGTTTTATCTGAGCCAGAGGTCTGAGTCATTGTTCGGTTTACCGCCTTGTTACTGACAAAGACATTACACAGTCTTTTTACTACCAAGCAGAAATATGGTGTTTAAGCCAAGGAGTCATGCCAGTGCATTTCTTTGAATCATCACTGTTTCCAGTCGTAAAGCTGAGACATGTTTTTCTTGAGAGAGGCAGTTCATCATCAGTTTATATAAATGGACTGTTCACAGGATATTGTTTTCAGTGACAAGTTTGGCATGTTTTTTTAAATAGGTTAAGATAAAAGTTACATGGAGATCAAACTGGGCAGCATGTGACCCATGAATTAAAATGTTTTTGACTCCTTAAGTCTGAAGTACTTTATTACTTACTAATGATTTGTGGAGTCAGACACAGAGGTTTATGTGGTAAGTTTCTCCAGTGGCCATGTTCAAAGTTTCGCTTCCATGTCACATGATTATTTTGCCAGGACTGTCAGAGAAGCTAATGCAGGGCATGTTGAGGTGCACTGTAGGAATGACAGATGGGTTCCACGTGGGGGTGGGATTACTTCAGGGATCAGCTCTGAGGCCCCTCTTGTTTGTGGTGGCAATGGACAAGTTGACAGACGAGGTCAGGCAAGAGTTTCTGTGGACGATGATGTTCGTAGATGACAGTGACAATAGAGAGGAGGCCGTGTTGGAGATGGTAAAAATGTCATGATTTTATTGGGAGGGACCAGGATGAACAGGATTAGAAGTTAGACCAGAGGGACAACTCAGGTTGAGGTGTTTGGAGACAAAGTTAGAGAGACGAGATGGTACGGACGTGTGCAATAGAGGACATATTGGATGAAGGATGTTGAATATGGAGCTGACCGGCAGAAGGAAAAGAGGAAGACCTTAGAGAAGCTTCACGGATGAAGGAGGACATGTAGAGGGTTGGTGTTACAGAGGTGGATGCTATGGTTATGGTGACATGGAGGCAGATGATCCAATGTAGTCAAACAGAGCCGCCAAAAGAAGAAAAACCACCCAACAAAGAACCAACTAAAACACATCATCTCCATGGACAACAATTCATAGAACTGCTTTATTTCGTATTCATTCTGATTGAGTCCAAACACACGCACACACAGTCATCTATTTATCCTCATGTATAAATAGATGAATTTACACAGATATACATAAATACACATTTCTGATATGCATATTCATTTTGATATCATGCTATGTCTCTGTAAAGGACTCTTCCTATTGGATGAGGGCACACAGGGATTTGAAAACACACACAACACAGCTGAACAGTTGGAAGAATCCCTATTGATCTGCATGTACATTAAACCCCACAAATCTTTCGGTTTTGGATATCATACAAAGACACAGCCGTGGTTTGCAAACCATAAATATACAGCAGCTGCATCTCAATAAACACACTGAAGAATATGGTACAGTAAAATCATGTAGATTGCAATCATTTCTTGCCCAGCAGCAAAAATGAAACCAAATAAAAATAATATTTTCCCGATTCAAATGGAAAATATATTTGTATATCTTTATATATGTATTTATAGTTTTATGTACACATTCTCAGGAGCACAACTATGAGAAAGAAAAATAAATATTACAGCACAAGTGGAAAAAAATATAAACAACAGACCTATATGTAAAATTTCCTAATAAGGCAATTAACGTAAAAGCTAAACTGTACAAAATATTGCTGCTATGGTCTTCATCTGATGAACAACAGCAAACTGATTACAACTGGCCACTGCACGTCATGAGAACAAACCGATTCTTATTTTACAACACCTGACATTGATGTAACCTCCCTTACACACAAACACACGTAAAAAGGTACCAACGAACCGAAGAAACTGCCTGTAGTTAGTTTAAAAAACCCAAAAACCTCCAAATCTTTAAGTCTTTAAGATGTCAGCCACAGAGAGACTACAGTAAACACTAAATGTACAATGACTGTGATTGATGTCACAGACACATGTGCACACACACACAAACACACAATCCTAAAATAAATACTGTCCAAATATCAGCATGTGTGAGCAGAGACTCTTATCTAAGAACTCGAAAATATGACTTCTGGATAATGTGACGAGTGTTTATTTGGCCTCTACCACTAGTTCGTCTTCAGGTCCTTTTAATGAGTGCAAACAACGTTCAACCCATTCACAAACTGCTGTGTCTCACCAAGCCAACACGCACTGCGTTCACTGGAATATACAGGTAACAGCTACGATATCGACCGCAAACACTACAACTGGTGCTCTACATCTACAAACATTGGAAAGATTCCCCGATTTCTTGACGTGAGGAGGTGATGTAGAAAAAGATATGGCGATTCTACTGTTACAAATGATCCCTGTGCGTCGGTCCGAAAGCAGGGCAACACTGGAAGACATTGTGTAGACATGAAAATTACTCTAATGACAATGTCTGCTGCCTTAGTGTTGTAATTGACGCCTTCTATTTTGAAGGCAAGAGTCATCACCCTCAGCTATTGGAACAACATGTGGTGTAGTGGAAAACAACACTGAATTAGACAACACATGAAAAAGAGAACAAAATACCGCAAAATACCGCAGTGAAGAAAATGAGCAAAACAAAAAGTCTTTGGATGCAAATAGATTAAAAAAAAATGAGTGAAAAGTACCAGTCGTGAATATTACAATCAAATACAAACAGACAAATAAATAAAAGTTCACAGTAGTAAAAACAGCTGAAGAAAAGTTTAGAAATGAAAATATAACAACAGGACTTAAGTTTTAATAATGCTGTAGGTGAATATGTTTTTGCTTTTTTTTTTAAGTTAAACTGCATATTTTCACTACTTTAAAGGATGACAGAGATATCTGGATGTTCTGCTTTGATTGGCTTAAAGTGGTTTTCACTGTAACTCCTGTACTGCGAGCACAGAGCCCTCCAACATCACGGGATACAGAAGAGTAATCCACTGACTCAGGGGGAAAAAAAAAAAGAAAAAGCTCTATTTATCCGAGTTATGTTAGGCTATGGTGGCTGCCTAGTAAGACGTACTTTGCACACTTGGTTTTGCAAAAATCTTTTAGCATCAAACTATTCTGAATTTTGTGATGATGACCTCTGGTAAGATTATCATGGAAAAGCAGACACAGCTAATTAACTTCAACAGCAGCGGCATAGTGGAAATGGGCACCATACTGGCAGCAATTACAACCACTGAGCTGGAGATTTCCTTCGAACTGGTTGGAAACACAGCAGCCAGTGCAGTCACAGGATGACTGATATGTTCCAGTCTAAGGTAATTGCACTGGAGATAATTTTGAGATTAACGAGTTTAATTTCATTTTTCTTCAAATTAGGTTTCCTTACTGGGAGAAACCACTTTATATGCTCCTAGTTCTGGATGTGCCATTCATTTTCTTTATTGAGAACCGAAGGCAGTGTAGCTACAAAAGATGAACAGTTGCTTAAAAATGGAAAACTTTAATACTTTAAAACTTACAGGTACATTTCTATAAGGAGCATCCACTCAATTTAGCATTTTTTTAACCCGTATTTGTGTCATGGATCAATGTTTTAATGAGCTTCTTGTGGTTTTGTTTGATCACAGAACCCAGGAGATGTCTGCTGGCTAGTATGTGTGACCGCTTTGCAACATAAAGGATATCACGAATAAAAATGACTTTCAGAGATTCGTCGGGAAAGAGTCGGTTGGAGGGCTGTGTTAGTGTGAAACAGAACAAAAAGTAGGTTATCGTGCTCTTTTGGGTGTGTCAAACATACAAGACTACATACAGCCTTATGCGCACTATGTCACATATACAATTATTTATTAAACTGATGTAATAAATTTCATTTGTCAAAGGGTGAAAGGCAGGGATGGTTGCAAACCAGTGATATCATCACTGTCAGGGTTTTTTCTCCCTCTGGTACTCTGGTACAGTCACTTTTTCCTCTCAGTGTGTTTCTGTATGCATGTTTTTAAATCCTGGTTCAGACAGAGATCGCGCTGCTGCCACTGAGGTCTGGACTTCAGACTGATGAGTCCTCTCCGCTGAGACGTTCACTCCTGTCTGCCAGAAAACAGGATTTACTGTGGGAGACAGACAGACTGAGTTAATGCATTCAGAAGAGTGAAAATGTTTCATTTCCCCCCTGGGTGTACAGCCTGTAAACTCTCATTAATTATTTGGAAATGATAAATAAACACCGAGCCATCAAATCAAAGTGCAGCTACAGATGAAAAGCAAACAGGAAGCCAGGACAGTGAGCTCAGGCAGAGTTCCTTAACAGCAGGTAAAGGCAGGTATAAAAAAAATAAAAAAATATTTTTTACAGGCTACGGCCGTCTGATTAGTTTGATTTTCCAGCAATAATCCCACATATAGTAAATATTTCTTGTATCTTCTAGAAACCACACTTTTTTTACCTGGACTGTCTAAACAATCCCAATCAAACTATGAACACTTTCTACTCTTTAGCTCATGTTCCTCACCAGCTGACGTACAACTTTGTACGTGATGTTTTTTTGTTAGTTTGTTTGTTTACCAATGACATAACCTTTCTGGATTATTATAATTATGACTGGTTGGTGACTGGCTGCTGGAAGGTGAAATCTGCAGCGAAGAGGATACTGAAAACCTCCTTGTGATTGCTGTGGTTGGTAGTAGATTGCCATGGTTGCCCATAGTTTGCATAGGAGACGCTCACTTGCATGTAAATTGTGAAGCTGAACACGAGTGAAATTTGAAAAAACGAGAAACGGAGAACGTTCGCCTTCAGTTTAAAAATTGTTTCATATTGCTACAAACAAAATGCTTCCAAATGTGCAACTTTGACAACAAACAGTCTCCATTTCCGTCTTGCATCGGACCTTTCGCAGTTTCACGACCACTCGGCGAGCAGTTGGCGACTGTTTTCACACATGCCGGCGTCTTCGCTGCAAACTACAGGTGATTTCTGGAATCTGCTAATGATCAACGCAATCACACAGTTTTCAGTGCAACACCTTATTTCACTTAGTGCTAGCAACCTTCAGCAACCCCTCATCAACTGATTGGGGATAAACATTTTTGGCAGACTGTTAAACTGAATTGAACTGAGCTGAATTTTCCCTAGCGACTGCTTGTTGCCAGGGATTCGCTGACTGGTCTTTAGGCTCTAGGTATGACTGAGGCTTTATATGCAGCTGATGGGGTCAAAATCTGTCATTCGAGCATTGCTGCTCTTCATTAGACAATGATGCTGCATTTTCAGTCACATGACTCTAGTCACATGATGATGTCACACTGATGGAGTGTAATTGGCCAAATTATACTGACATCTTACGTTTACAATAAGAAAGTGGAGCTCTGTGTTGTATGAGCTGTTGATTTTTGTTTTCTGCCTTTTTAAAAAAATAGTAGATTTGTTTATGTTTTGTCTTTTTTTTGGGGGGGGGGGGCTACTTAGTAAAGAAAGGTCTAGCGTGAGAAGCAGATGGAAAAACAAAATGAGTTGGGAAAAAAAACAGATTAATGTCGCTTTTGCATTAAAGCGACATTAACAAAGTAGACTGGCTCACAAACACCTCGTAAAGTTAACAAACCCAAACTAAAGTGACCTAAACGCCATTCTGACTTTAAATTTGCATAAGTTTGAGTGACTTATTTGTCTAATTTACATAACTGTTAAATTCGGTAGTATTTAAATATAAACTTAAACCAGAAAATAAACTCGTTCCTCATAAACTCAAAAGAACTCATCACATTGCCTCCGACTGACTGAATAACTAGAAACCGGGTTTTGATGTTCAATAAATTGCAACTTGTCAGGTTAGTCTAAACGGCTTAAGCAGAATGAGCCATGGCGCTCTGGTGACACATGAGCCGATGGATGTGTGTGTTAAAGTCTGAGCAGCTTGTTGTTGGAGGGACGCAGGATGGCTGGTCGTGGACTAAATGATCACAGAGGCAGTCAATGACCATTTCCACCCATTTGTCAATGAACAATGAATGCTGTAATGTAGGAGTGGGTTTCTGGACGCAGACCAAGCGTACTCTTGAAATAGTAATGGACTTTGGGACCTGAGAAGCTTTGCCTACATTTACTGTAGCAGCTTCGTGCAGAGTGTAACGTTACAGCTCATCCTTCCCTAAGAACAAACCCAAACATGGTCCCGAACAAATTTCATTCCACTTCTGGGGGAAACTTTCTGTGCTTCATATTTTAGTCCGATGCATCTCACTTACTGTCTCTCTTTCCCAATCCCCATCTGGCAGGGCCTTAGACTCTGAGCCATAGTGTAGCGGAGAGTACACCCAGGTCCTGTCCTCTGGAGGCTGTTTTTACACACCCACCACAGCAGAGGGGGCCAGAGGGACAGAGGAAAGGCCAGAGGCACAGAGACAAGCAGCAGGGGCAGGCAGGAGAGAAAGACACAGGAGATCACAGGAGAAAAGACAAGACAGGAAATGAAAATTAGGGATGCATTAAGGAGGAATGTTGTTGAGACATACTGGAGAGTGTGAACGTTGAAAGTGTTTGGAAGGATGTGTTCATCCTGGCTGAATTGAACATGATGTTAATATCTTATACAAAAACAAACCAAAAAAAATTCTGTAAACATGTAAATATAAAGATGAACCTCAGTGATGTGTGCCTGAATCACATGTCTTGGTGTTTTGTAACATTTGGACTAAGTCCTGGGGAGCAAAGCAAGGGATGAGCTGCTAAATCATCCAAGCGGGAAGTATGAGGAGCGAGAAGGAAGGAGATGGGAATGGCGAGCGGGGGGTAGCCAGGATGCCGGGACATTCAGACACAGACACAGAAAGCATCCTCGTCAAAGAAAAGCAAGGGAACAAGATGTCTTTTTCCCCTTTTCCAACAAGCAAACATGTCTTTTGTTTTATGTGTTGTTGTTGTTCGTTTGAACTCAGTGTTGTTTAGAGTCTCTAAAAAGTCTCGCCATTATCATTCTCGGGGTACCAGCCCTTTAAGATAGGGAAGCCGCTGCAACACGGCAACAGGTAACAGGGATGGAGGTGGATGTCACACACTCACACGCTTGCACATGTATATTTACACACACACAAAGCTCAGCACATTGCAATAAACACACTAACTACACAGGTGCAAAGAGAAATAAAGCAAGCTGTCAGTGAGTGAGGAAACAAATACTCAAAAGAAGATGAATATAAAAGAAACTGTCAAATAAGAAGCTTCCTGTCACTTTTTTAACCTGCTGTGAACAGGTTTTGTTCTTTAGTTTCAACATGATCACAAAACAACATAATCAGTTGATAAATCACAACAATCCAAAAAACCTTGTTTCCTCTCAACACTGCAATCAAATATAGCCTAACAACGGGAACAGCTACTGTTACAAGGCCACTGCTGTCTAACTTATATCTCACTTACTGGCTGACCAGACTGGCATTTCCTCCTTTGTCGGAAAGGAGAGACCACCCAGGTCCTCCCATCAGGAAACTGACAACAGCAGAGGTACATGACAGATGGACAAACAAAGACAGATGAAAAGCTGAAAATAGGGTGGAGGGGGACACGGGGCGAGGAGGGAAACTCAAAATAAAACACTGACGATAAAAAAAGGAAGCATGCTGGGGTGAAAATGGAAAAGGCGCGGATACACTGGATAAGTCGATGGTCACAGCTAGATTCACGTGTTTGGCTGCCGCCTCTGTTTTCATTTCCCGCTTGCATACAACAACACCATCTCGCCACTTTCATTATGGCTTCTGAAGAAAATCACAATAATGAGAACATGTGAAATAAGAGAGAGCGCATGGAGGGAGTAAACAAAGGATGTGAGGTGGAAAGGGAATGGCAAAAAACTGAACGTTTGAGCGAAGAGGTGTAACGGGTTAATGGGGTGGACATGAGAGGCAACAGAAATGAGAGTGAGCAAAAGAAGAGAAACAAACATATGATGTGAGTACGGATGTGAATCATAAAAACTAAACTCCCAATCAATCTCTTCTTTTCAGTCTCGCAGCTGTGCTGTTTTTTAATGGGGAACTACACAAGCTTAAATGCTGACAAATCTTCAAAATTCTGACATATACTTAATTTCCATCTCTGGAAAATCTACAATTTAAAACCATTAAATTGTTCCAGCAGCTTGATAGACTATTAAACAGAGTCTTGGGATGATAAACTGGGTTTTTATTCATCACAATTCGCTCCTCCTTGCAGAAATGATGGAACAAATCTCACAAGCACTGAAATCTAATTCATATTGATTTTCTCGAGTAAAAACCGTTCCCATAATTTGGTCGTGTTAAATAAGCAAACCAAAATGTGCAGAAAATCAGATTAAAGAGATATTTTTATAGGAGTGATGTAAACGGATATTTTCTGTAGTCCCAACAGACCTGAGTGTGATCTTGATCTATCTAAAGCAAAGCCATGCCTTCCCTTGAAGGACCTTGAAAAGCTCATTCGTGCTTTTATCACTTCCAAATTGGACTACTGTAATTCTCTCTACTCGGGCCTCCCATATTCTTCTAGTCACCGGCTCCAGTTAGTTCAAAATCCAGCTGCGCGTCTCTTAACTGACACTAGAAATTATGATCACACCAGTTTTAGCCAACTTGCACTGTATCAATTTACCTTTAAAATTCTAAACAATTTGGCTCCCAGCTATCTATGTGAACTCCTCCATTTGTATATTCCTAATAGAGGACATAGATCTTCCAATCAAATGCACCTGACGCAACCAAGGTCTCATCTGAGGTCCTGAGGTGATCGGGCCTTTGCTATCGTAGCACCCAGACTCTGGAATAACCTCCCTCCTTATATTCCGTCCTCGGAGTCCATCCAGTCTTTTAAATTGCATCTTAAAACTTATTATTTTGTCTGGCTTTTGATTCAAACTAGTTTGTTATTTCGTGGCTAGTTATGCTGTTTACCCATATTGTTTCCTGCCCTCCTTTTAACTGTTTTTTATTCTGTCTTATGCTATTGCTCTGACCGACCGTGAAGCACTTTGGTCAACTTTGTTGTATTATTATTCAATAATAATAATAATTATTATGCTATAGAAATAAATTTTGATTTCATTTGATTTCATTTTAGACATTAGGCATTTAAACACTGCTCCAGATTGTAGCATGTTAATAATTTCATTTGAAACTTCTGAGAAATAATTTCCGAAACACGTGTCTTGCTCTTCATGTGTGAATGAACCGGAGCAGCACCTGAAGTGTTTAAGATTGGAACAAGCCTTTTGGGCAATCATGCAGAAATCCTATTTATTCTTCAGAGCGAGAGGAGAGCACAAAAAGACGAAAGGCTAAACTGAGTATTGTGGTACAAATCCAGTCTAAACACACTTGTCCGTACTCCTTTTATACTGTAGTTTGTGTTGTTGGCATTTCATCAGCAGCTAATAGAACAACAAGCTCTTTGCCACTCCATGAAGTCCCTTCTGAGCGCTCTGCCTGTGGCATGCTTCTTTGTAGTTACACTTCAGGATGTGTGTAGTGTCACTTTTTGTCACGCAGTGCTACAGACCCCCTGCTGCTGTGCACAGAGAGAGGATCTCCTGCTTTTGAAGCTTGTAATGGGCGTCAGCCACAGCCGGGTAGATGAGAAGGCTGTTAAATTACTGAGGGAGCTCACAGACTAACCTGTTGGTCATTAAAGTTTCTCAAAGCCACATTAGAAGGTGTTTAATTCCTGACAGGCCAAGTGAGAACGTTTCTATCTGTAACTGTGATCACTAGCTCTGCTCTCCTTCACCCGATGCTCATACATTCATTTATAGCTACGCTTTTGGGTAGACTGCTAGCACAATACTATCTGACAGTACTGAGACTGAGCAGATGAAAATGGGGGAAAAAAAAGCTTTAAATGTTATTTAGAAAAATCCTGTGAGTGTGTGTGTGTGTCTGAAGGTTGGCTCGAGATCATTTGAGACGGGAGCAACAAAGTGAAGGTATACATCACTCTAATATCACTCAGCAAACACTCCAAACCAAAGCGCACACCTGTGTTTAAAGAAAACATTTTGGGAAATATGCCTCTTGCTAAGAGGTAGATGAGACGAGTAACTCGACTCTCACATCTAAACACTAATCTACCTGCCAACAGACTAAGCTGAGCATTAAAAACAGGATAACAGATATCAGTCTTATAACTTGCCTCCAGAAAGAAAGCAAAATGTTTCCCAAAACATTTCGATTAGCTGAAAGCACCACACACTGCAAACAAGAGCTGCGCACACTCTTTTTCCCGTACCAGCCTGATCCTCCGCTCCTTTCCTGTAGTCTACGTGTTAGCGCATCTGTAGGACAGCGTCAAACAATTCAGTCTATTCAGTTAAGATACACCGACTCTGACGTGATGATGTGATGGCTAAAAAAACAAAGCCAAACTAAAAGATTAGAGAAGTGATGAAAGCTGCTGCTTTGTGTTTGCTGCACATGTCCGAGGGTATGTTTGTACTTACAAAGTAGATATCTGTGATTGGCACATCGTCGTCGTCATCAACCGAAGCCTGACTGGTGCACCCTGAACCGGACACCTGGCTGGCCCTGTCTGCTTCCACCGCCACCGCCTCCTTTGGGCTGTATGTGGCTTCTTTGGGTGGCCCCGGGGAGGAGGAAGCAGCTAGGGCAGATGATGATGCAGAGGAGGCAGCCTCAGGTGCTGACAAAGAGCCTGAAGGTTCTGCTGCGGCACCGTCTAGAGCGTCTGTGCCGGCTACTTCCTGAATGTCACTGTGGAAAAACGAATGTTGTATTGTTAGAAAATGAATGCAGGGAGAGGGTCTCCAATTGGCAGCATTAAATTAGCTGTTAATAGTTCTTTTATATATATGCAGACAAGCACAATTGGATTACTTTGATTCAAGAAGAGCGTAACTATGTGGTCAAAGTGCAGCACACAGTTTCAGGTATTTATAAAAATGTTGCATCCTGTTCAATTCACCTCACTTTATGTATTAATGTATTTTAACAAGAGCAGAAACAAATCTGCCTGCACATCCACCTACACACAGACCCACAGCCGTTAAGAGCCATTAATTGGGTCACTTGCCATAAGCCACTTTCCAGCAGCAGGGCAGAAGAGTGGGACCAAGCTATTAGAGAAAATTCAACAGCTGTGCGTATATGTGCGGTGGGGGTGTTTGTGGTTTAGATGCTTAAGCTTAAAGATTTGCCAGCTGGCTGTGTGCTGCCACAATCCTTTATTGTTCCTGGCCAGATCATCGACTATTAGGAAGGATTTAGGCACATCCACATTGCTTTCTCAGCTTCTGTGTTTGAGTTTAGCTCCACCAGAGGAAAAGCCCGGCAGCAGGCCAAGCAAGCAAAAAAAGGAGACTTGGCATCTCCAAGTGAAGAACTGAATGGCTGAACAAACGAGGGGGGACGGGATGATTGTTGCCATGCAAAAAGATGCTCCCTTACTCAGTTCGTCTCAGCCCATTTCACCCCACCTCTTTCTTTTTATTTATTTATTTATTTTTTTTACACAAAATGTTTCACTACACAGTTTTTTTTGCCTGCCTTCTTCACAAATTGCTCCTTATATTTATCTTTTCTTTTCATCTTCTAATTAAATATACAATTTCTCCACTTCATGTCGGCCTTCTCACCTCCATCCAACCCATTTCCAAAGCTGCAGGTGTGTTAGAAGCAGCTTCTCAGAGGAGCGTTGAGGCAGTTAATCCATTCGCCTATCACTGTCTCGGCTGCTCTCGCCACCCCTTCCTTCCTCCCCGCCAGCTCTTTCCAGACCCCCAGGCCTTATGTCTAGCCACTGCCTTCTCACCATCAAACCCAATTATTCAGTTGGCTTCCCTCGGCAACCGCACCCCAATCTCCACTGACCTGACTCCAGGAAAACTCCACCGTGTTTACATTACGTCTGTTTAAGTCTGTAAAAATGAAAGTTATTTAGTTTTTGTTTTCAAAATCCAGAGCGGCATAAAGTGTTGCTCTAACTCTCTTTGTTTCACCTTGAAATTAAAACTAACATGCAATCCAATCTAGTTAATCAGAAACATTTTAAAATATACAAAGTGTGGGATAATCGCAGCTTTATGGGCGGTAGCCTCAGGCGTGAAAGCTTCCCGACCCACTACCCTACTTTTTCTGATCGTTCCCCCATGTTTGGGTTTTTTGGATTTAGTGTCTGCACCATGTTCCCATTTAAAAAAACAGGAGATAAACACTCCTTATGTATGCATGTGGGCACTCTCTCATAACCTAATTACTATAGATGCATGCCCCTAAATTCACCTGCAGCATTTATTTCCCCATAACAAGAGAACCCTGACCTCATGAACAAATGGGTTAAGCTGCTTTCAGTGTTTCTCTGTGTTCCACTGTGTGTGTGTGTTTGTGTGTGTGTGAGACAGGTGAGGTGTGTTTACCTAACAGCTGGCTAAGTCCTGCTGAGACACAGGCAGCAGGTTATTTATAGTATGGTGTCAAACTGAGTCATATTGCGGTAATAGAGGAGCCTCGTTCTAGCTCTTTCTGTATTTGGGTCACATGTATGATAAGAGCTGCCTCTTTCTTTCACGTCTTTCTGTCGTTTACAGTGAAAAGGACAGAGGCTGTGACTTTGTTTCTTTTATTCATAATGGTCTGTTTTGTGCATGGTGGAAAATATTCATCATTAAGCATTTTGTGGGACTAATATGGCAACATGCCAGGTGGCAGCTGTATTACATCGTTTTTATCTATTTTAAATGAGGATATTTTTAAAAGTATACAAATACTTAGTCCGTTTACAGGTACTGAGAAACGCTTGCTTAAAGAATAAACTTTAGACCAAAGCATTGGTTCGTGCCGCCCCCTAACTCTGGGTGAGGCCAACAGATAGAATAAAGATGGGAACCATGAAATAATGAACCCCAAGCTGCACTAGTTTGCATGTGTCCATGGGAAAGACACTGAACTCTAAATGAACCCCAATGCATCCATTAATGTGTGTATGTGATGGATAAACCAGTGTGGATACCACGTTCATGAAGCAAACCTCCCGTTCCACCACATCAAAATATGTTTACTGTGGAGACTATTTGAGTACAGTACATGTTCTTTTTTTGCTTGTTTTCTCTCAACAGGTGATAAAGATGATTTTTGTGACACGATGCTTGAAGCAGCCATCAGAGGATGGTCACATTGTGGTCATAAAGAGATGGACACGGTCAGCAAGAATGCAAAAGTAGACTTTGGTATATAAACGATGCTCAGTTAGTACTAAGCACCCCTTCTTTTGGACCATTCTCTGCAAACCTTAGAGATGTTTGTGTGGGAAAGTCCCAGCACCAACAACCATGCCATGTTCAGAGTCACGTAAATCAAATTTTTGCTCCTTTCCCCTTTAGCACGTCTGTGGTGTAAAACGTGCCACCAAAAGTTCCTCCAAAGGTTCCTGGTATCTATCGAAAAATCTTAAACATGTTTTGCAGCTGGCTGACCAACGATGTAAAAGTCGATGTTGGCACAGGTTTAGGATATTTAATTAAACTCAGTGTTATGTGAATACACAGGTTACAAGTGTGTTTCTGATGTTTTGTTCTTGTAAATCAACTGACAAGAAGCGCATTCGTCTCTCCAACATCAGATTTTAAGTCTAAGTTTGAGGATGACTTGTGTTTACATAGTGTTTATCCTTGTGTTGTTTGAGTACCTGATTTCAGGTGAGGGCTGAGGAACAGAGATGGTGGGCTCACTGTCGTGTCTCTTCAGCTCCACCTCCACTGTGATGGTCTGCTGATCCTCCTCACGCACACGCAGCTCCTCCTGGGTCCTGAAAACACAAGCAGCCTCATATAAAAAGAAAAACACGCAGAGGAAATGAAACGCCAAAACACACACACGAGGAGGAAAAACGGGCCTAGTCATAAACACACTGACATCAGATTTTCTCTGCCACCCACCCACCACACCCAGGAGTGTTTAATGCTATGAAAACATACAACAAGTGAGTGTTTGTCAAACAAGCTAATACATTTTGTGACTCTGGACTCAGACTCACCTCCCATCATGGCTAAGCGACTGGGTGTGCCTCCTGAAGACAGAGGAAACACAGTCAGTAAGAGCAACATGCTTTAAGGCTCACACTGGTGAATTCTGACAACACAACTTTAAGCTTAAGTTTAAGAAATAAGAGTTTGGAAATAAAACCAGTTATATTTCAGACTAAAGCATAACAAAGCCATTAATTACAGTGTTAACTGTCCCATATATGAACTTTAATATTTATAAGCTCATGTATAATTAAAAGGGCAGTGAACAGATTGATTCCCTGTGACCATCTAATATATAAATGTTTTAAAAGATGTGTGTGTGTGTTAGTACCTGTAGCGGGGGTGTTCGGCCGTGTCAGAGGGAGATCTCTCAGGAATGGACAAAGAGGTGGTGGAGGAGAGTGTAGTGGCAATTGATGCGGTAGTGGCCTCCTCGAATGATGGAGGAGTACATGGAAGAAGATCTGGTCTCCCTGGTGGACAGACACAGGTACAGTCATTACAGTTTATCTTGGAGAGAGCTGGCACCTGTCAGCAATCTTTTTTTTTGGCATTTTCCTCCTTGGATGCCTCCTGGGCGAGGTGTTCTGAGCATGTTCTACTGTGAGGAGGCCCCAGGGCAAAGACAGGACACGCTGGAGAAATTATATCTGTCAGCCAGCCTGGGAATACCTCAGTGTTCCCCCGGATGAGGCGAAGGTTTTTTTCGGGGAGAGTGAAGTTTGGGTTTCTCTGTTAGGCTACTGCCCCCGCAACCCAGCCACATATACATGGTAGAGAAAGGATGGATGGATGGAATATGCTGTTGTAAAACTATATACCGTGTTCCATCTTTGTTAATTTTATCATAACACACAGCATGCAGTGTATTTACCCTCGTCCTCCAGCGTTGGGAAGCTGCGAGCTCCTCTCAGGTCGTAGATATTCTCGTCTCTCTCAGAGGTCAGCTGGCTGGCTGACCAAGCTGCACCAGGACCACCACACTTGGGCACCGTCAAGGACACACGACCCTTCTTTGACGGAGAGGACTTCAAAGCTGAGGAATAATTTACAATAAGGCTTTTATTTACAGTAATGAACCTGTGTGTTGTGTAGTTTGGGGTATTTAGCTTACAGTATACACAGCCTTTAAGTGACAGTTTTTATGATCTCTCTCTCTCTCTGTATCTATCTATCTATCTATGTATGAAGTCTGAAATTAATTTTTACTTTTTAAAGACCTTTTCGGGAACTTGTTCTGTGTTTGTTTTTAGTGACCATTATATTGTTTCTTTATTTTCCCTTTTAATTCCTGAGAAAATCACTTTAGGTTAGGAATTTGTTTGGGTTTAGCAGAAACAGGAAATTGGGATTTCAAGCAAACATCGCGACTACATACACCATTTCTGAACATATATAAATGAATGTAAACTCTTATAAAACATGGAACACTCTGAAAACACATATTTCAGTGGGGTAGATTCTCGTTGGATATCTATACTGATAGGCACTGGGTTATGTTGCCACAGAATGATGTGACATTCTATGATGGGAATGAAAATTACCAACCTACACAGGGCTGAATTCAAAGACATCGCAAAAATCAAAGTGAAAAAAATGATGCAGTCCATTTTGGTGAAATTTCATAGCAGCAACTCAGAATGGTGCTCATTAGTTTGTATAGACCTCAAGTGCTTGAATGCATGCCTGACAGTGTTAGAGTACGGTCCTAAGGAGGTGACGGATGGTGTCCACGGAGATCTCCTTGGATCTCATGGATCATGGCTCTCCCTCCATGGACATGCCTCCCCAGACCATCACTGACCCACCACCAAACAGGGCGTCCCGAACAGGCAGTTTAACATTCTCCACAGCTTCTGCAGACCCTTTCACATCTATCACATGTGCTCAGGGTGAACCTGCTCTCATCTGTGAAAATCACAGGACACCAGAGGTGGACCTGCCAATTCTGCCAATCAGGCTGCACACTGCCAGGCAGTGAGCACAGGGCTCTCAGGCCCAAGAGTCAGAAACGGTCAGAAAAGACTAGGGGGGCATAAAATGTCAGGGGTGTCCACCTGTAAAACCATTCCCGTTTTGGGGGTCGTCTCATTGTTACCCCTCCCGTATGCCTGCTTTTAATTTTATTAGCACCAAAGCAGCTAGAACTGATTAACAACCCCCTCTGCTTAAATCTAACCTTAGCTAACCAAGGCTGAAAATCTCATACACATACCCCTATGTACTCTTTACAAAATGCTTAAAAGCAGTGCAAATAAAAGCAAATAGAGATCCAACAGATCTATTTTCCTAAAATGATATGAACTAAAAAATCTTTCAGCTGCTGTATCTGATTTTTCTATCAAGACTCGACACTGAAAGCAACAAAACCCTGGTGTGTGGCTCTCTCCTTCTCTCTACCTATGGCAACTTCTTAAATGAAACTCACAGGAGCTCTTCTTGAAAACTGTGGTGCTCATGAACTTCAAGAATCTGTCGGCATAGAATCCTGGCCGGTGGACCGATACAGTGTCCTGAGGGAGAGACAGAGAGATTAATGAGACAAATGGTGCATGAATAAAATGATCAAACTGGTGCTCGCAGTAGATTAAAACTGTCTGTGTTCTTCAGTGACCCATTTCAGTAATTCTTCTCTCTGGGCCAAACCACACGAGTGAACAACACCTGCTACAGACACGCAGAAACACAGTCAGACGAGGCTACAGACCCAACTCTTCATTATTTATGTTTCAGCAGACGGAGATAAGACAACACCAGCAGACTGACAGATGACACTTGGTGTTTGGTTTGAGACAGAGGACAGTAGGGGCGGCGGAAGCAATGAAGAGAGAGAATCTCAGTTATTAGCTTTTTTTGTTTCAGCATCACTGTTGCTCAATATGTAATGTTGCGTGTGGCTCGGAGGTCGTGCTGAGGATCCATTGTCGTCAGCAACAGTGACGAACAGGACGCTGTTTGCTCTCCCACACGTCTCGCTTGTCAGGGTGTTTCGGAGTGGGAGCTTGGAGTAAAGAAAGGAGGCGGGGAGATTCATGGGACTGATCTTCTGTTTTGTGCTGTAAATCTTTCTGTATCAGATTCCCTGTAAAATCAGACTTGGCAGAACAAAATATAAAATACTGTGTGTAGGCAGCTGCTGATCTTAATGGCTCTGTTTATGGAAATAACGCTACTTAAATGAATGTGGTTGCAATTTGCTAATAATAAAGTGTTTCTACGGCATTACAGTTTTAAGGCCCACATGTTTTTCAGAATGAGCAACAGACAGTGTTTTCCTCAGAGTTACGTTGTTTTAGTAGTGGTAGTGGAGGAGAGATATACCTATGGTTTTATAAATAAATTAGTAAATAACACTTTACATACAATAAACAACAGATTAATGTTGAAATTACGGAGCTATTGAACTTTTAAAATATGAGTGGACTGAAGATGTAACTCCATGGTGTCGTTCTTGGGATGTGTGCTAAAGGCTAAGATATACCCGGATGGCCTGCATAAGTGAACTCTGGAGTATATGTGGGATAATCTATCATGAGCACAGGACAAAGGACAAAACTACAAGTCAGCTACACAGTACAGGAGCTTCTCAGCTGTGGAAACCCATGCCATGAAGCTCCCTGATTGATTGATTGATTGATTGGTAATTTATTTCAACATGTGAACAATATACAAGTACATTTAGAAAAGAAATAAGAGAGAAAAAAAAATACTATACAATTTTTGTGCTGATGTTAATGCCAGAGGAGGCTTGAAGCTCTGTATTGACTCAATGTTATCGAATCAGCAGAATGTTTGAGACTTCTATGCACAAAAGAGCTTTTGTCCATTTAGCACCCTTGACTTGGAATGAACTGCAGAACTGGAAAATAACTGAATTAATTTGATTTCATTTAGTGCTTTTAAAGCAAAACTAAGAGTCCCTGAGGCCAAGTCCATAACAAGCAACAGTTTCAATTAGATTGTTTGTCATTTTAACTGAATTTTATTTAATTCTATCTTTATTTTATTTGATTTTTCATTTCTTTTTTCACGTGTGTTGTTGCTGCCTGTGTTTAATTGAGTAACTGTGAGAGACTTGCTGCTGCCTATCTTGGCCAGGTCTCCCTTGAAACAGGTTTTTAATCTCAATAGGATCCTCCTGGTTAAATAAAGGTTAAATAAATAAAAGAAAAAGAAAAAACTTCACCACTCTGTGACACTGCCCTGTAACTTTATAGGGTTAGTCTGGGATAGGTGTGGATTTACAGGTTTAGCCATGTGGATGGAGAAATAATGAGTCAGGCAGGTAAGCTGACAGAAAATTGACATTTTGTGCCAATAAACCCTCTTACAATGTCGAAGCTCAGGAAAGAAACCCAAAAGCTAAAAACCTCACCCCATCATGAACCAAAGCCTTCCACGTGTGTTCCAGTTTCTTGATTAACCTGCAAAAACAAAGTTGGCATGGCAAACATGAATAAACCTAATGAACTTAAAGGTGTTTTAGTACAAAACACTGTGGCAGTAGTGTACAGCATGTACACATTATTTATGTCAGCATCATACAGACGTTTGGCTGATTTCTAAGATGATCACCTGTAAGACTGCAAGATGTCGATGATTCCGATGAAGAGAAGAAGCCTTTCTCCTTTTCCGCTAACGGCGGGGATACCGCCCATCCTAAAAGGAGAAGAGAAGTAAAGCTAAAATGAAATGTGGCAGGTTTGGGTGCCATTAATCTCCAGCCATCAGCTTCTCCACAGAGTTTATTTGATTTATTTTTCTCTTTCTTATCATCATTAGTCAGCTTTAGGATGTGTTCTTTGTGAGTAAAACAACATTTAATGTCAAACTACAACACTTATTCAAAATAAATGTACGGTATCTAGATTTAAAGCCGTACGACTCATGGTTGGGTTTAACTGAACAGAAATGTGAACCCCAGCTGTGGAGAGGATGACAGCATCGGGTCTGCTTCATCTTTGCAGTCTTCTGCTATTCCTACAGCTCATTCAGGTAACTGCAGGCATCCAGGCATTCACCTTTGACTAAATAATCCCATAAGTGCTTCTCTGCAATGTGAATACACTCATACCCTGTACCTTCAGTGCCTTTTAAACTTGTGACAGAGAATCTGATTTAATGGGATTTCAGAGTCAGATGATGTTTCTACCAGAAATTTGGCTTATGAGAATAAGCCTATAAAGGCAGGAAATGTTGGTTTCTTTCTACTTAAATCTAAGACTATAGAGTATTAGGGAACTTTAATGAATACTCCGATTTGTTAAGGCTAACTGCATCTTAGCAAGTCAGCAGGGTTTTAGTCTCTGCTGAACCTTTAATCTACACTGAACTCAACATTCGGACTTCTGACACAAAACCGCTGATTGCTTTACGGGCAAGATCTGAAGTTTGCATTTTCTTCAATTTCTTTTGAATTTCTCTGAAGTTGTGTATATTAAGCTCTAAGAGGCAGCACCAAAAAATGCAATTATCTTTTCAGGCTGAAAGCAGTTGAAATTGAAGCACTGAAATGGTTTACATTTAATTTGAAGGAACTAAAGTGTCGCATCAAGTGTGAGCATTAAAAGGGAACAAAGAGCTGAAGAGAGAGAAGAAGCGTAACTACTGAAAGCAGAATAACTTTAGGAGGGAGAGTAAGAGATAAAGGTAGATGAATAAGTTCTAACATTGTTATTTATCCTTCAGGTTGTTAGCTCGTATAAATGCGGGAAGTCGGAGACATGCACTCCCAAAAGCCTCTGCTGTTCTCCTCTCTGGCCAAACTCACGTGTCGTCTGTGTCAATAGACCCTCCGCAGGCAGCTCCCCCCTGGATGGACTCCATGGCTGTGGAGTACAGAGCCTTCTGCTGGGCCACGGGCCTTTTCTCATCGCTGTCACCCTGGGAGCCTTCCATCTGCCTCTCCCTCTCCGCTTGGTCGATGTTGTGGACCCCAAGCAGCAGGCTGTAGTCCATGATCTTAAAGCTTTCCAGCACCTGAGCACAGGACAGGCAAAGATAGTTGTCAGTGTGCAGTACCTATGAGACACGCAGCTTCTAAATCCTGACTGAAAGCTTTTATTTTTTATTATTTTAACATGTCCCCAAGAGGGATATAAAACCAATAACCGTGGAGATGTTAATGCTATACACAAGACAGAGTGGTGCACGGGCATGCCCACACTGATAAACAATGTATTTGACTGCCAGTGAGTGCACACACACTGCTTTCCGAGTAAAGTAAATGGAAACAGCAGACAGTGATTTACAAGAGAAAAAGCCAGCCAGCTACAAGACCAGACACCTCGTTAAACCTTGTACTCGTAACACAGCTCTAATTTATAGAAAGGGGTCCTGGGAATGCCAAACATCATAACCTCAAGAAAAGTTTTTCTTCCATTCCAGCTCCCCTGTCTACTCTCATCCATCCTCTTTTATCGATCAGGGCACCATGAGTATCATGGGCTTCCCCACCCTTCTTTTTAAAGACTTTTTATATGCTTCTTCATCTACCATTACTTTTTATGAGCCATTTAACGGATCCTGCATCACAACAAGCAAACCAACTTCACCATCTCCTCCCCTCCTGTCTGTCTCAACAGAAAACACAAGTAAAAAAGCTAAAACCAGTATTTGCATTTAGCTGTATATTCATATTTCTCACCAGGCAGTCTCTCTGCAGGGTCTTGGTCAGGGCATTGCAAGTGTCCTGGTCCATCATCAGGCCATCCTGCAAGTCTTGCATGAAGTCCAGGTCTTTAAAGGTGGGCCTGGCCTTCTCCCTCTCCTTCTTGGACGCTCGCCTCTTGTAGGTGGAGCCCTTCAGGTCGTACTTGAGGTGCATGCGCACCACGCGGGGGAGGACATTGTTCATAACAACCACACGGATGTTCTTGCCACCTGACTGGACACAGTAGAGGCCGAAAAACTTGGGCAGCAAAGTGCGAGGGTTCTGATTCAAGTTCTGGAGATGAGAAGAAAAGAGGGAGAACATGAGAAATGAACACCATAAGGAGACGCCTTGAGGGACTGAGCCGAAATACAATATGTGTGAGGTACAGTAAGCTCACATGTAACAAAAATATATATATCTTTTAGAAGTTGTATGACTTCAGGCAGTGTTTCTGACACTGGAACAGAAATTGTTGCTTTTGATTAATGATATCCATTTCAGTTTAAATAAAATCTTCAAAACAGCACAAAAAGGAACGCCACTGAACACAAAGAGGCATTTTTCTCCTCATGGGAACGTGACGGAACGAAACATACACGAGGAAGAGGATAGCTGATACATGTTACGCAAACAGTTGACTGACAAACAACACATGATTCTCAGTGTACACACACTTTGGCTACGGTTACATATTCACCACCTGATCGCACCAGGATCCATTACACAACAGAGAGAGCCAACAGAAATGAAGGTTTTTCTCACAGTGCCATGTCATGTATATCAAAGTGGTTACTGGACTCTGTAGCCACAGGAGAAGAAAATCATACTTAAAAAGCACGACTCGGGAAAGAGTCGTATCAAAGCGGAATTTAAGCTTTTAAATTTACTGTAAGAACAAAAACCTTTGATGCTCCACCAGAGCACACAGTCAGAATGAAAGTATGACTGACAGGTTTTTGATCATTCTCAGTGCGATGATGTGAATTTTTATGTTGTGATTTTGTTTACATGTTTTACTTGAATTACTTATTAAAAATAAAGCAAATAATTAATGGTTACAGTTCTACAAAAGACTCTAAAAACTAATATTCAGTTTGGGATTCATGCCTCAACAGCAGTTATAAGATGAGCTGCAATCATGAAATTTTGTGGGTTTGTAGGTAAAAATTTAAATATGTAATAGGGCTGTGCGATATGACCAAAATCTCATATCCCGATATAAGAATTATATAAATCACAAAAATTTAACATTTTCTGTAAATTCTGTGAATCTCGGGCCGCTGGACTTGCGGGAAGTGTTTCCAGCTGCGCGTCATGTAGCTGGAGTCGAATGCATGTTTTAACCGATGCATGAAACTATACGTTTTTAGACATAAGTTGTAAAGGCCGCCGCTTTCTTTGTGAGTATTTATTACACGGCGTGCTGCGGGGAAAAGCCTGTTCTACCGTTTGAGTCTAAGGTTTATTTTTTTAGCACCTGGCGGCTCTTTTTTACTTCTCATCCGTAAATAATCTGCTCTTTCACGTGATTCAGTTTATTTTGAAAAGTCTCAACAGGATCTTGAGCTTTATTGTGAAAGGTTTATGTGGAACATAAACAAGCGGACACGCCATGCTGTTACCGTCGTTGTTGCTAACCACAACGCATAAAAACAGGCGCTAGTCCGTCCATAGTGTGGTTATATTAAATATAAGAGAAAGAGAGAACTTTAAGAAATTAATATAGCCACTACAGTGACCATCAAAACGATGAAAAAATATTGCCGTAAACAGTTTATTTTGCGACACCCCGAAACAAAGGTTAGCGTAAAATGAAACGATAGACGTTTTTATATCGTCATCCGATATATATCGTTATATCGAACAGCCCTAATATGTAATACTTCATCCTAGTTCTGCTATAGGTTTCTTCCTTTTACAAGGTTGTTTTTCCTTCCCACCTTTGTCAAGCACTTGCTCATAGTGGGTCATCTGATTGCTGGGGTTTTCTCTGTATTATTTTAAATGTCTTTACCTTACAATATAAACGGGCTTGAGTTTACTGTTGCTGTAAATAAAATTGAATTGAGCTGAATGTATTGCATCAAACTGACTTGACTCTCATCTCGAAGAACATATGTCATAGCAAGAGCTCTGTCTCTGGCTAGGACTTAAAGACCAAACAGGAGTTTTCAGCGTAAAGGTCGTCGGTGTGCACACCCAGGTTGTTTCTTGCTGCTTTTTTCTTTTTTTCAATATTTACAAGGTTATTCACTGTGAAATTTGTAATGTGCTGAGGCACCCGAGGGAGAATATTCAGCATAAACAACCTGAGTTGCGATGTATGCCAATAAATAACACACTGAAAAATCTGGAGCTGAAGCCACTCCAACTCAGTTCTGGTTTACTAATCAACCTGATTGCCAGATTTGGCTTCCTGCTATTCTTCCATTTCCCAGAAATGTAAGTCAAGTTGAAGAATCACTATTTTGATACACTGGAGGAGATCCAGTGGGAACTGCAGATGCTCACGTGCAAGTGATGAGAAGGGGACTTACACAGAGCGATCTAAAAATAACAGCTGTGGAAGGAGAGCAGCGATGCCTGAGGAGTCCGGCTACAAGGGGTAATCGGCTGAATTCATATCTGACTGGGGTTTTTTTTAATTTTTTGTGCAAAGTCACAGTCAAACTATTATCACTGAACAGAAATGAAAAGACACAAAGCACTTTAGATCATTTTTGGCTAAGCCAAATGCAATAACAAGATGAAGGCACACAAGGACATTTTAAAAAAGTTCTTTAGCAAGTACTTTCCTCTGTATCACAGGTTATGCCAAATATTTCAAGAATCAATGCAAACAAATTAGTTTGGCTGGTTCCTCAGTTATAAACCTGCTTTGACCTTGGGACTTGGGCCAGCTCAGTCCCATTAGAAAGATGAGAGAAGTGCGAGAAACAGAGGGCTGCTCCATATAGTGGTAACACACAGCAATCAGGGGTAAAAATGACTGCAAGAGGAGAGAGAAAGAGGAACAGACTCCAGAGAGATGAAGGATGACTAGAAAATGTGGCTGAAAAGACTAGGTACTTGGTGAATGACCTTCAGATGAGAAAAGCTTCTACAAAGAGCAGCAAAGAGAGAAAGAGCATCCTCAGCCCTCAGCCACACACAACCCTTCTGTCAGCGTTACGAGGGCAGAGCGGTGACGAGCCAACAACACGAACACGTGAGGCACGGGAGCAGAGGAGAGGGATGGAGAAGAAAAACGAGAGGAAGGGTTTAAACACAAAGACAGAGCGAGAGGGGGAAATCAAGGAAAATAAATCACGCTGAGAGAGCCACAGCAGCAGGAGGCTCTCTTTGGAGAGTGACAAGACATTAAAACATGAAGGACAAGCCATATAATAGAAGTGTGAATAAACAGAGGGGAGAGAAGTGGCAGCACGAAGTCAGTTACATCACTGTGGTCTGCATGCTGCCCAGAGCCAGAGTCTTCAGCCCACAACCATGAGCCAGTCAGCTGTTGAAGACGTGGAGCTCCACCAATGACTGCTTGTACGCTGTCTGTTATGTGTTTGCCTAAAATACAGATAAGTCTACAATACTCAAACTACTTCTCAATGTCCAAACATACATTTTTTGTCCTGTGTCGTGTTTCTGAGAGTCTTTAAAACCTCCCTCCCCTTTCTCTTGCCTCGGGCTACAGCCCGAAACTCTCCGCTTTTATTAAACCACTCGCTTAAGACCAATTACACCTGTGAAAATGTTTCAGAGCACGACCAAAACGATGGAAAAGGTCACAGTAAATGCGCTGAGACTTCAACTTCCTTAAATGATTAAACAAATTCCTGCAGCGGACTTTGCCCGCAGCTGTCGGTGCATTAATAAACACAAGGGCGAGGGCTATGAACCTGTGAGGCTGGATTAGCAGCATGGACATACATGGAGCTGTTGCTGGTTGACTTGTTTCAGAAAGAGGCTGTGAAGTTTTGGAGGGGGTGGGAGTGGGCTACTGTTGGTGGAAGTCATGCTCTGTTAGGCTTAAGCACAGTACATCCGGCTACTGAAAAACACCAGCCAGTCTCTTATGAAATCCTATGGCCTGAGGTTTCAGTCACAGAAGATAAAAGCTGTTAAGTCTGCTTTATTTGAAGGTTTGTGCTTGGAGGAAACATTTCCAGGATCTTACATAAACCTGAGAGCTTAAAAAAAACGTAGGGATAGAAGTTAGTATTTAAATGAAATAATAATAAATAATAACCTATTATTTATTCACGATTTTCTTATTTTCTTCCATATATGCCTTATTACAGTTTTTCAACATAGCCAATATTTCAAATGATGAGGTCAGTGCATGTAGAAGTAATCCCTGTGTGCCAAAATGTCAGGTTTCAGACTGCTAATAGACAAATCGTTCTACTCTTGGCCTTTTATGATGTCATTAAGAACAGATATCCCTAAAATGGTCAGTTGAAGCTGTGAAAAAAGGGTAGCCAATCAGATAAAAGTTTCCTTAAATGCAGGCTGGCCTTAAAGAAAGAAAAACGGGAGCTAAATAGCTTGTTTCAGATAGAGGCTGCACTAAAGCCTGGCATAAGATAAAGGGTTACTTTTTGAACTTCGACTCATGCAAAGCATCTCTATTAAAATATGGATTTGTTAAAAAGTGTGGTGTCTTCAAACAAACATGCATAAGTACACAAAGGGTTCCCTGCCTTTTATCCAGTGCTCATGAATCTGTGTGTCTTGACGACAAGAAATTAGTGTGCGTTACTTAACGTAAACCTGAAAAGAGTTGCCAAATCCCAGTGAGAAAATAAATAAAACATGGAAGAACAGCTGCTGTGGCAGTTCATTTGAACTTCTTTGGTGGGACACGCCCATTTGAGCACGTTACATATAATTTTAGGTACGCTGTCATGCACACAATCTGCTTACCATGTAGTATCCAGGCAGCAGCTTCTGTAAGAATTCAGCCTCCTTGTGCATCACAGTCTTGATGATGAACTCATCGTCCTTTGTAAGGTAGAAGACTGAGCCACTCGCTCCAGGATTGGACAGCTCGATCAGAGGCTCGTTGCACAGGGAGTACTGCAGGGTTACACACAGAAAAATGACCAATGTTATGAAAAAGTTAAACAAAACAACTATAAATAAAACTTAAAATAGATGAGAATATTGACCTAGTTTGACCTTACAATTGTTTACGTAGAGGATATAGTACTAAGTAAAAGTACACTGAATTAGCTGTTAGTAGTACTTGTCTGCAAGACGCACAAATTGTACTACTCTGAAACTGAACGCAACTTCGTAGACAAGTTACAGAAAACATGTTTTTTTAAAGTTGCAGTCTATTCGACAAAGTCATGGAACATGATCATTTCTTCAGTCAGTGTGAGTCACACTGACTCAGTAAATTGTTAACGGTGTTCAGATTTGACTGAGCCATGACTCAGAAGAGTTCGCCTAAGTACTTTAATTGCTTCCGTAAGCTCTGTATCACAGCCGCTGCTGCTGCCATAAAGGTGGAATTGGCTGAGTGGACCGACTCCTTTTCACCTCTCCCCGCATAGATCCCCCTTAACCCTTCCCATCTGGTTCTTTTAGATTACTGCAATCCATGCAAACGCTACCAGTGGAACACAAAAAAGCACAGAAAAATAATTACGGCACTTCATTATACATCTCATCTGATACCTTCCTGTTAACAACATATTAATGAAGAATACCACGCTGACTAGAACTCTCTGGCTCTCTGGGGATCAAATCTATAAATGAGGAGTTGCCTGCACTGCTGATAATAAACATAAACACTGGAAATCAAACACAAACACCAGCATGCTGAGACACAGAGCCCAAATTTGAATATTAATGAAACACAAAAGGCCATAGGACATAGGACATATAAGGACATAGAATAAATATATATTTTACAGAATTACAATGGAAACAAACACAAAGCTGAAAGAACATGCTTTTAAAATTCCAATGTTGTAACCTTTTTTATACAAACACTCCCCATCCAACTTCCGCTAATTACTCACATTTGAACATTCTCCTGAATCAATTCCAACATTTTAAAACACACCTAAGCAGGACGGGAGGATAAGAATGTGAAGCTGACTAGGAATAGCAATAAGCAAACAGTTGGGAGGCTCATCTTCACACTAGGGCTGTTCGATATAATGATATATATATCGGATAACGATATAAAAACGTCTATAGTTTCATTTTACACTATCTTTTGTTTTGTGGTGTCGTAAAATAAACTGTTTAGAGCAATATTTTTTCATGGTTTTGATGGTCACTGTAGTGGATATATTAATTTCCTAAAGTTCTTTCTTTGTCTTATTTTTAATATAACCACACTACAGATGGACAAGCCCTGTTTTTATGCATTGTCGTTAGCAACAACGACGGCAAAACCATCGCATGTCCGCTGGTTTAGTTTCCACATTAACCTTTCACAATAAAGTTCAAGATCCTGTTGAGACTTTTCAAAATAAACTGAATCACGTGAAAGAGTATGCAGAATGTTTACGGATGAGAAGCAAAAAAGAGCCGCCAGGTGCTAAAAAATAAACCTTAAACTCAAATGTTAGAACAGGCTTTTCCCCGCAGCACGCTGTGTAATAAATACTCACAAAGAAAACGGCGGCCTTTACAACTTATGTCTAAAAATGTATAGTTTCATCCATCGGTTAAAACACTCGACTCCAGCTACATGACGCGCAGCTGGAAATACTTCACCAAGTCGAGGTGCACGAGATTCACAGAATTTACAGAAAATGCTACATTCTTGTGATTTATATCGTTATCGGGACGATATATGTCTTAATATCGGGATATGAGATTTTGGTCATATCGCACAGCCCTACACTAAGATGTCTAATTTATCAGACGAGAAAGTCTCTTTAGGGATGTGATAAAACAGCATCAAACCTTCAGCGAACAGAACTGCTGCAGAGACTATTTAAGCTTTCTTTGTCTTTTTGGGTGTGAGAAAATCTAACATCTCTTTATCACTATTTACTGACAAAACAGAAAGGCCCATAATTGGCAGGTCCACAGGAAATAACAAAAATCAGTAGCTGCCGTCACAAATGTGTCAACAACACATTATCTCTTCTGGCAGGCCCTAATGATTTGTCTATGAATAACTTGTTGGTGGTAACACATAACAGAGTGACTTGTTAGAAAGGCTGGATTAGATGGTGCCAGTGCTACAGCCCCACAACAGCAATGGCTGAAGCTGTCACTCGTAGCAACACTAACAAGCTTATTGTTGGTTACGAGACAGAGGAAATACGACCAAAGTGTTCTGGTAATGCAAAAAGCCGTTAACCCTCCAAATTACCTTTTAATGGCAGCAATTTTCTACTGTAACAAATTACTTTTTAACATCCACCACTAATGAACTCTAACAACATCAGCTACCTGTGAACAGAAATGGCTCATATACAGTATTTTTTTATAGTGAGACTACATTTCAGTTCATAAGTCACAGAATAATTATGTTCTAGATTAAAATTTGAGCTTTTAATTGGCTCTTATCCGTCACTTATCTGCTTTTACAACAGCACCTGGCTTGTTCATAATGTTTTATTATGTATTCTTAATGATTTCTGTCATCATTTTGTCTTTTTTCTCTCTTTTTATGCATTCAGAAATGTTTCCATGCTGCTATTTTAGTATCTTGTAACTGGGGTTTAGAAAGATGCTATATAGAAATAGCATGTATCATCATCATCATTATTATAGCACTTTATGCCCATAAATTTTAGCCTTGCAGTTGAAGTGAAAGTTGTTGTTTTTTTAAACTTACAACCAAAAATCCACAGCAGACTGAACACTAAACATGAACATTAAGTCTTTCCTGTAGCACGTCTAACCAACAACCAGCGATCATGTAATGTAATCTTACTTTGGCCTTACTTTTGAAGCATTGTCTAAATTAATTTCAGTGGTCGTCAGTGCGTAAGTGTGCAAGTACAGAAATATCAGTGATATCTGATTTTAAAAATCATTGAAAGTTTTGTTGACTATGTCCCAAATTAAAGTGTTGACCCCTTAGGTTAGTGAGGTTTACAATGGTCCCTCGTTTATCGGGAGTTAAGTCCTAAAAATAACCCGCGATAGGTGAAATCCGCAAAGGAGTCAACTTTATTTTTTAGTATTATTATAGATGCTGTAAGGCTGTAAAACCCCTCACTACACACTTTATACACTTTTCGCAGACAGGCATGAACATTTTCACACTTTTCTTTCTTGTTTAAAAACCCTCAAAGTTCAAACCTTTGTAGAAAATAAGTCCAGTATTATAGAATGAAACCAAAGGCACCCGCGGTTGCCTTTGATGGTGCAAAACGTCTAATCAACATTGTTGTATTTGTTGGGGAGAAAACTTACAAACATTTAGTGCAGCACTATGGAATCACACTGCTAGCAATCGAAGATTTATATTAATTTGAGAAGGTGAACGCATTCTGTACTGTACAGGAGACATGGCACAAGATTGATTGACAATAGTCTACCGCCAATCAGGATGCAGAACGTAATGCACAGTAAAATAAATAAATAAATAAAAGCATGAAAAATTGCACAAAAAAATTCAGCGAAATAGCGAGGCTGCGAGAGGTGAACCGTGTCATAGCGAGGGACCACTGTATACCACTTCCTCTGCTGCTGCTGCATTTTCTATAAATTTCAATTCAGGATTTGTTGAGCACCGTTCAATTAACACCATCTACCAGTTAAGACAATCAACTAGATTGTCCTATGTTATGTCCAAGTGCTTAAGGAAATGCTTAAAAAAAAGAATTAAAAGAGAATATGGACTCTAGATTCATATTATAATTTTGAGTTTATGCTGTGACCTAAAATCTGAATAATAAGTACAGCCAGTCAGTGGTGAAATGTCTCCAGATGACTTGCTGACTGAAAGAGAAAAGGGAGAAAAGCCGGCACAATGCTGTGTTTCCACGTGGTTGGAGTACCAATGCATTGAGGACAAGTGCACATGGAGCATGCAAAAACACTGACTAATCAGTGTATGTATATGCAGAGCGTTGAATCATGCAGCCTCCGGGTTCCCCAGACAGAGGAAGAGAGACAAGCTCCAGACCTGCCTTCTCTTTCTCCAGCCTTCTTCTCCTCTCCTCTCTGCCCTCTCAGATGCTGTCTCATGGCTTATTGTCCACATTCCTTTTCACTTAGCTCTCTACTAAGATCCCACTTTTTATCAAGAGTTTTTTTCTTCTAATTCTGTTGTTTACACCTCCACCCCAACAAGTTGCAGTGATGCCTTTTTCTGTGTCAAATCGGTTTGGCCACTATCGGCCGTTAAAAAGAAGTTTATTTATATCTAAAATTAGAAAAAAGGTGAAATGTCAAAAATCGTCCTTTCAGGACATTTGAAGGATATAAATGTTATTGATAAGGTGTGTGTAGATTCAAATCAAAGAGTGCTTTAACCAATAAAGGAAAGTCTGCTACCAACCTTGATTGGTCTGCTACCACTCAAGTGTTTTCAATGACCTTAAACGTAGTCTGGATCTAGAGACAAAGACGAGTGAACTCTTACCAGGTAGTCATCCGGCCTGATGCCAAACAGTTCTCTGAAGTAGCGGAAGGCCACAGGAGCGTACGTTTTAAAGCGGAAATCCGGGAAATGATGGGCTGGAGTAAGGTTGCTCCCTTCACTAAAAGTTTAGGATAACAACATCTGGTCAATAAATTAAAAAAATTCCACTTATTAGTGCACTAGAGGGCTTTAGTGGGTGTTTGGGTGTAACAAAACCTGGGGAAAAAGATGCTCTCCACCACGTAAAAGTCCTGCATTAACACATCTCTTTCAGGCTTGGAGCTCAGGTTACCCACTGTGTAACCGATGCCCAGCTGGATGGCACCTTTCAAGGCTGATGATGTGGTCTGCAAAAGAGGGAGTGGAGAAGGCAAAAATGAAATTCTTCATCTTCTTCTAAACCTCACAGGACAGTCTGAGATTGCTCTTTAGAAATGTTTCAGTAGAATCTAATGGTATCATCTATAAAGTGTACAAAGGCAATGAGTCTGCGTCATGTCATTTCATATTTCTGATTACCAGACAAACAGAAAATGCATATATTTCTTAGATAAATTAACCTCTGATAATAAAACTGACTGAAAGAAAAATCTTTATTTTCCTCTGGCCTCTAAAACCTTTTTTGGGTGTAACAGGGCAGAAAAACTCATTTTATAACACCTAGAGACATAGCACTATTCTTCGATAGCATATCAAAGGTCACTCTTAGAAACAGAAACTGTATAGTATAGCACCTTCTTATAAGTAGTCTCCCCTGATGCGTCCACCCCTCTGTGTCCAATCTTCTTTCCTTGACCAGGCTGGCCTGAGGATGAGGCCATCTGATAAGAAGAAGAGAGAAGCAGACTATTATAATCCGGTCAGCAGTACTTGCACTTCTTTATGAATGGAGACCGTTGAATGGCAGCAATTTCAACGTCTGATGTTTGTCATTTTGAAGCGATATACAGACTGTAGCTCAGCTAATGTAATGGAGCTGATGTAATGATTTTAGGATCTTATCCACTGCAAATAATTCTAGAGCCACTGTATGTAATGGTCACTGAGCTTTTGGTTTAAACTGGTATTTAAGTAGATTTAAATAATCTGCACACTCCTATTAAACAAATTGGGCAATACTTTAGGGCTTGCTAAAATGCGCTGTGTATAAAAGGGATTGATCAAATTAGGAGGATTAAAGAAGACTTATTATGCTTATTTCCAGCTTTGAGTTTGAGTCGCGGCTCAGAATAATTCCTGTTTATCTCATACTGGGCTTTAGTGCAGCGCCTCACTTCTTCCACTGTCTTAAGGAAAACATCCCTTTATTCTAATTGGGTGCCCCTCCTGAACAAAACAATTTGAACAACGTGCAGGCAGGGCTCTGTGCTGATGATCATATCTGCTCTTGCTGACACTGGAGAGAACAGCAGAATAAAAAAGGGCCATAAACCATGTTTTTAGAGAAGGGTGGAGTGAGCTTTTGCCTCACTAAGGATTACTTATTCAAACTCAGGATAGTTTAAATGTAGCTGTATATATGTATGTAGAGAGCAAGGATACATGCTGATAAAATGTTGTGTCCTATAAATACAGACAAGAAGAAAAATCACTAATGCTTTTAAATATTTTGTGCTGTTTGTAGTGACATTGGAGGCGGTTTTCAAGCACCAATTAAAAGCCTCAAATGAAACCATTATAGTGGGATAGTATGGGACAAAAAGCAAAGTAAAAGACAGAGAGACAGGTGCAGGTGGTGGCTCACCTCTGTGATGAAGGCTTTCTTAGCAGCTGCATCTGTAAGAGAGGGGACAAGAAGAGACAAAGCACTGGCTGTAAGTCGCTCTGTGACAGAGAGGCTCCATTACTCAGCATCATTAGTCCTTCCCGTGACAAAGATGAATCCCACAGGGTGGATGCAGCAGCCTAACATTATGTAATGACAGTGTCAAACACAAGCAGGGGCCTGACTGAGTGACTGCAGGAAACAGTAACATCAAGGGCACGAAGTCCTTTAGAAAACCTCATGAAGTACAACTGATTATTCTGCTGTGCAGGCGGCACTGAAGCCCATGTGTGTGATGGTTGGCTAGACTATGCACCAAAATGTATCCTATTTATTTGTTCCAATGCCAATAGGTTTATTCAGACATTTACAGTCCACCCACCCCAGCCCAAGTACAGGTTCACAGATACATGTGTGACTGCAAGCTCTCTTAATGAACTCACTTTAACTTTAACTCAATATGCCTCTGTGGCGTGAATAAGGCACGGCGGGACCACAGATCCATTTTCTGAGCTATTTATTTACACTGGCTGCAGCTCCCAAGCTGCCAGCCGCACATCACACCACAGCAACAACCCCTGAGTCCCCGTGTTTTAACACCGTGGGTGTGATCTGCAGATGTCGTGCAGGTGCGTCCGCATATCATGAGACAAGCTTAAACATATTAGATAAACAGTTCTAGTATGGTGACAACGTGCTACACTAGTAAATACTAATCATACCAGTAAATACATGAAGTAAAGCAGTATCTGCCATGTTATGATCATTTCCAGCCTAATAACAGGATGTAAACAGTAGAGAAAGGCAATCAGAGTCCTGTTTCCACCAGGAAAGCCTGAAATAGACATAATTATAGACATATATAACACTCAGCATAATAATGGAGAGAAGGGTAGGAAAACAGGAAAGGGAGAACGGAAAATGAGCAAAAGAAAGAGTGGAAAGTGATGAAGAGGGTGGTTCAGAGATGGCTTCAGACAGAGAGGGAATTAATCAGCCTCACTCTGTTACTGTTATCATCATAACTGCTATCACACTCAGCAGCCCAGATGGTGGAATTTATGGAGAAACTGCAGCAACACAGCCTGACAGTTGGGAATAAATACATGATGATATGAATACAACTGATGAGACACTTTGATGAGGACACCAGTTTTGCTTATGTGATTACTTTTCACTTTTGGGAAACAGATGGAGCGGCAATGTTTAAAAGATTTTCTTGTGGTATTGTGTCAGTAAGGTTACAACACATCCCGTACCGCTGAGGAAAGCAGAAAGTTCCTTATTGCTTATGACACGGTGATAGGCCTGAATTTGTTGGAGAAGATATTGCTTTCAAATCTCACTGCTGCACGCCTAGAAACATGCAACCCTGCCGTTAGGACAAAAGAGGAGCAGCTGGGTGAAAGCCCATTCAGCCATTTCAATTAATATTCAGTCATCGTGAAAGAAAGTACACCCTCTTTCAAAAAAATAATCAAAAATATAATTAATCTTGAATTGTTTATCTACCACAAATGTAACCAAAGTGCAGAAACAGTGTATTAGAAAGTACATCCTTACTGCTTACATGGGAATAAAGAGGTTTAGGATCAGGCAGGTACTGCTAATCAAAATAAACCCATGAATGGATTAAGGGCAGGTGTGAGGTTTCTGGAGAATTCAGGAGTGTGTTAACATGATGCCAAGGAGGAAAGACGACAGCAATGATTTAGAGAAGAAGGGTTCTATGAAGGGTTATAAGACCATTTCCAAACAGTGTGAAGTCCATCGTTATATAGTGAGATTATTTAGTGAAAAACATTCAAGACAGCTTCCAATCTTCCCAAGAGTGAACCTTCCAGTAAATTCCACCCAAGATCTAACCATACAATGCTTGGAGAAACTGCAAACAAACCCCAAGTGCTGCATCTCAGACTCTAGAGCAGGGGTGTTGAACTCCAGCCCTCAAGGGCCGGTGTCCTGCGGGTTTTAGATATCATCCTGGGTCAAAACACCGGAATCACATGATTAGTTCATTACCAGGCCTCTGGAGAATCCCAAGACATGACAGGAGGTCATTTAGCAATTTGTAAAATGGTAAATGGCCTGTATTTTATAGCGCTTTACTAGTCCCTAAGGACCCCAAAGCGCTTTACACATCCAGTCATCCACCCAATCACACACTGGTGATGGCAAGCTACATTGTAGCCACAGCCACCCTGGGGTGCACTGACAGAGGCGAGGCTGCCGGACACTGGCGCCACCGGGCCCTCTGACCACCACCAGTAGGCAGCGGGTGAAGTGTCTTGCCCAAGGACACAACGACCGAGACTATCCAAGCTGGGGCTCAAACCGGCAACCTTCCGATTACAAGGCGAACTCCCAACTCTTGAGCCACGATCGCCCCAACTGTGTATTGTATTAGCTGTGTTGGATCAAGGGCAAATCTAAAACCTGCAGGACACCGGCCCTCGAGGCCTGGAGTCAACACCTGCGCTCTAGAGTTAGAAAAAGAAATGAATCAAGGTGCTGCAATGATCTATACATCAGCAAGATTGAAATGCTCTGGTTTAATGAACGGAAGCAACGCTTTAAAGAAGATTCAAAATGATGTGAACGGCTGATAAAGTCATACAGGTAACAATTATTTCAGAATACTGCTGCTAAAGGTGATTACGTTTAATTTTTCATGCACCGCTTCTGCACTTTTTTCTGGTAAAATAGTCAACCACATGATTTTCATTATGTCCTGATACATAAAAGCTTAGAACTGAAAGAGGGTGTACCTTCTTGTAAAAGGTGACACAGAATCAACCATCAAGTACAAGTTGGGTTGAGCTGCAAACAATTTCAGGAGAATTACCTTGGGATCACTTTCTACTGTTGTCCAGAAGCAACTGTGTTTGCTTTATTCGGCACAATTAATGGACAATGTCTGGAAAAGCTGCAGTGCAAGTGTGAAAACATCTCAGGTGGTGGAAGGAAATGTAAAAGGGAAGCTCATTTTGTTTTTCATGCAGCAAATGTTACCAGATCCCAGCGTCTGAATGTGCACAAGCTTTTGATGGTTTAAAATGGGTTGGCTCTGCTCCTCCCGAGGAAGCAATTTTCAGAGTGCGCATTACTGTGAACAATTCACAACAGGCTAAATGAGAACTGAACATGACTTTCAGCCTGGACTCTGCAGAGACTTCCTCTTCTAACCAGCACACTATGATTCACTGTCTCTCGCCAGCTGAGACACTAACAGCTAATACCTATAAGCCAGGGTTGTACAGGAGTGGGAGAGCATCCTCACAGCTTGACTTGGTGCTTGCAGCTCAAATGATAGCCAGCCTCTCTTAGTCTGCCTGCCTGCCTCTCGTGCATGCCCATGTGACTGAGCCTCACAGTAGCCGGTTTTCCACCCCTCCTCCTGCTCCGTCTCTCTTACTTGCTCCCTCTTCCACACACATATTCACACTGGGATGCACAAACAAGCGTGCTACGACAGCTTCCTGCAAGGTGGAACAACCAGTAATAAAAATATGGGTAAAACAAAGAAAAGCCAATGGAGGAATGTTTGCAGTGCAGAAAGACACAGCTGCTTTCAGTGTGCTTACTATTCATTTTGCCTGTGTGCACATGCATGCGGTTGGCTGGATTTTTGTGCTTCTTCCACATCTCTCCAGTCACTTCACAGTGTCTGCTCCAAATGTGTTGCATGTGTTTGTATGCAAAGGAATCTAACTAACTGTGGCTACATCTCTTCCTTTCCACATGCCTGCACCTGTCAAGACAGCCCCAAGAGTGTGTATGCACGCAAAGGTATGTGGGATTGTGCAGTGACTGGGAATACACAAGATTAGGTGTGTGAGTCAAAGTAACAGCAGACCACACATTGGGTCCATACACTGCAGCTGGATGGCTGCCTTCTGACAAGCTCCTGTAAGATATCGGTAGTCTGCACAGGCATTGCATTAAGCAGCAGTCTGAGTGTAAGATACTTACAAGGCTTTTTTTAATCTAAGTCTAAATGTAACTTGTTGTATTCACTCAAAGAATCCATCCATCCTCCAGGTCTTTGCCAACATTAAGTAAACCCAGACGAGCCATTATTAAATTACTTTAAATTATGGAAAGAAGGACATAGGTTAGGGAAGAGGAAATATTACACAGGAGCCAAAACTATATTAAAAATTTCAGCCTTCAAACTAATGCTTCTGTCAGCCTCAAATGCAATCACTGTATATTATGATTACAAGCACGTAATTAACTCCAACGGGGAGGTTATTTGATGGATTCAGATTGCCTGCCTGCCTGTTTGTTTATTAGCACGGTTACTTAAAAAGTCCAACATACATTTGGATTAAAATGTTACCAGAGGTTGGGTCAGGCCTAACTAAACAGTGATTACCCCTTAGAGTCGGATCATATGTTCACAAATATAAGTTAAGAGAAATGAATGTCCTCAAGAAAACATCACAATCCAAGGATATTTTCTGAATGCAGGAAGTCCGTTGATGCATGATGAATTTTTCAGCCTTGGCAGTGGTGTGAAGTGGGGTGTGTGCGTGAAGTGCAAGACTTGAAATCACAATGCCTTGCAGCTGTTCATGTAATTCCTGCCACATATAAACACACAAGCAGGAAGCTGATAAGAGCATGTTAAAGTCAATAAAGAAAAAACAGAGTAATAAGCTTATGTACCTACAAAAAATGTGAAAACAATAGTATATTTATATGCCTTGACCATGAATACAGGAGTCTTATTTAATAACATGTCTGTGGTATCTCTGCATTTACCTTTAACATATTTACCCTTCTTGTTCAGTGTTGCGAAGCTGCAGAACGAGGAGATACTGAAAAATTGTTCTCACTCCACCATTATATGGCAGCTGTAGAGTTCTTCAGGGGATGGAACAACAAATAGACCCTTCCAAGTAAACAGCTCCTAGCTGAATCTGTTTCCTATCTAAATGGCGATTTGTTGGTTTATGGCTTCTTCTCATAACCCTGAAGAGAGTCGTCCATTACTGGCTGCTAATAT